TGGTCGCCACTGTTTGAAAGCCACAATATATAATTCTGTCCTGAAATTTCGAAGCAAATCCTGCCCTATAGTAATGCGTAATATCGCCGCACGATAATAGCCTCCGGTGCGCTCTTTCTTGTCGAAAATAACAACTTGCAGCTTTCGTCGCTGTCACGGTGTAGTGGGAGGCGATCACTAAGTCGCGCGTGTATCACTGGGCCGCGTGTTAAACTACACGACCCACCCGTTCACCCCGCTTCGCGGCGACCGTCTATACGGCGGCTCATAACAGAAATGCTAACCCGCCTGGCCCATCAGTCACGTCGCTTCGCGGCGACAGTCTGCGACGGCTCATTACAAAAAAGTAATAAAACAAACAAACAAAAGTACGACCCCGAAATGAACATTTCTCAACTTGTCTCAAGATACTGTCCTGTCTTCGCAGTCTTGTGATTGTTCTTTCCGTCTTGTAACCTAAGAAGGGCGCTGTGTCCAAACACAAATAAAAATTTAGGTCAAAAGGTAAGAAGGAACTACGAAGTTTAACCTCGGACCGTCATTCAACCCATTCGACGAATCGCCCTTCGACTGACTGCCCCTTTCGACAAGTTGCCCTTCAACTAATTGCACTATTACGAATTGGCCTAGTCGACGAATGGGCCGTCGACGAGTTGGCTTTTGACGAGTTGACCGGATCCCGGGTCGGAGACAAGCTGGCTGTAGTCAATATCTATCCATTGAAGCGGAACAAGGGGCGTTTCCAGTGAACTATTCTTTCGACTGCGGAAGGATTTGAAAGGGGAGCATCGCGCTTGTGGGAGAAGCTTCTCGAATACCTTCTTGACTTCTAGCCGACTACAGCCACAGAATACTATCACGCTGAAAGGGAATGCTTGAATATGTTTTTATTCTAGATATAAGTCAGGGATATATGTAAAGATGCAGATGAAGAGAAAGGAGCATATAGTGTCGAAGGAAAATAATGCAAACAAAGTCCCCAGTGGCCGATGGCTGCGGTTCTTTTCTTGATTCACTAGTCCGTAATATGATACCTGTTTGCATGCAGTGTTCCCAGATGGGGAAATTATAAATCAGTAGATGGACACCCTAAATATTAGTAGATCACCCAAACATTCAGTAGACATTAAAAAAAATCGTTTGTATTCCCGACCGCTCTTAATAGATGACATAACATAAATAATGTACTGATATAGTCAAATATAACGTAAGACAGTGGGAGGTGAAAAGGGCGGAAGCGGAAAGTTCAAGTGGAGAGGAGCGACCTCCTTTTCACAACGGCTTTCTTGTGAGCGCCCCTTTCCCCCTCGCACTGTTCTTCTTCTCATGTTGAATCTGACTATAATAAACACGCACAGAAATTATTCGTGGGCATCCCCATCATTGCAATGACGCCATCAAGGAAGCGAAACCAAAACAAGCTTTTGTTCAATACTAGCTCGCGCTACCTTACGCTCACTAACCTTCGAATAGTGTATCTAGGACCATTAAAAATGAGACATTACAAAACGTGCCGGACACCCGAGAGCAGTTTATTATAGTATCACTTAACACTTCTCTATGAACACAGTAACAATGTCCAACAATATGAAGGCCGCTCAAAAAATTAAAACAAAGTTCGAGAAATTCTTGCTTCTCGAAACTTTGTTCCAGTCACCGTTCACCTTGTCATAGATTGCGCTAGACATTCCAGAACACGCAGGCCACCCAAGGGCAGCTTGACTAGCAGTCCACACTTTCCTAAGAACGTGTAAAAAGTTAAAAATCAGACGCGCAACTCTAGGGTCCATACGTGGGCCAGAGTTGCGCGTCTGTTTTCCACGTGCCGCCGCGCCGCTATTCGCCGAGATCGACCAAGTGAGAAGCAAAAACTCCTGCGCCGTGCAGGAAAGTAGACGTTCCACGCGCCCCGGCCTATGTTCCCCTGCTTTTGCCTGATCCTCCTCCTTTCCTGTTTTTTCATGCGCGGCGGCGCCGCTATTCACCGAATTCCTTCACGCGACCGGCCGCAATTGACGGAGCACGGCTCCTACACGCGCGAGGGGTGGCTTTCCTGCATAACTTAAAGGAGCTGTGCAACGATATTCAGTTGGAATGTTTTTCACTTTACACGAGCTTACTGGCACTAGTGGGACTGAAGGATACTTGCACGCAACGCCAATGGCCAAGAAACTCCTTTGTTGCGGTGCAATTTCAAGGACAAAAGTGATCACTTCCATTCAATCTCTCCTTGGCGGAATTTGATGACGTAACGTGGGGATCGCAGTACACCCATATGACGATATTTGAATGGTGTTCATAGATTTGACCCGAGCATTGCGTGGGCACTCGATTTGGGCTCGTGATAATTACTAGCTCGAGAAGCATTCGAGTAGTGGCCCGTGTCCAATCGCTGCAACGACGACAATAGCCGAGCCATAACAATATCTGGAACTCAGCGCGTGCCCTGTGCTTTGCCAACCCCAGCACGTGGCTATAATCAACATCGGCGGCATATAATCGGCTTCAGATCACGTGGCCGCTTGTTCTGGCTGCGAGTTGAGGGGGTGAACGCTGCTCGATTTTCTTTAATTTTTTTCTGGGACTTCTATTGCGTGGGATGAAAAACGAACGCGTGTTTCATAGGTCATTAATGTCAGGAATTCTTTCTAGGCGGTATTAGCGCAAAGTACAAAAATTGTTGCATCGCCCCTTTAAGATTATAAGATAGCTGAACGCGAGACTCTGGCTCCCGGAGCCTATACAGGAACTCTATACATAGCTCATTTTAGTGCCGCGCCATCATATGCTTCCAAGCGTTGCGCGAGGCACCGGCTCGTGAATTGGCGTTTTTTGATGATTTGATGCCGCTTGCAAGACAAACAAACACATCCAGGGGTCTTACTAAGAGCGTGGAACTCTTGGGCTCCGTTCAAAATCTTACCCAAACGAATCCGAGTTACTCCGGCGGGTCCTGTCACATGACAGCGCAGACTGAGAAATGCTAGACGCGGGCAGGTTTTAGAACGCCAAGGTGCAAAACCCTTACCTTGGAGTAAGATGGAGTAGATTTTGGAACACGGCCTTGGTGTCCCCTAGAGACTCGCGGAGCGCGAGGTTACGTGGCTCTTTCGTACCGCTACACTCTCAGAAAAAAAGGAGCCAAATGAGCAAAAAAGGGTTCTTTTCGCTAAACAAGAACCGATTTCGGGGAAGATCCTTTAGAAGCGTGCTTTCTCAACCAAAAGCACCCCTCGCAAAGTAAAAAAAGAAATGCAGAGCTAGTTTCCGGCCTGGAGAGAGCGAAAAGGGTTCTTGTTGCAGCCAGGAAAGAGATAAAGCGATCTTTGGAAAAAGGAGGTCACTTAAGTCTTCTACCGGATAGAGGGACACAATGACCAGGCTCGAAAGGCTTTGCACGCGAGAAATTGGGTGCGCCATTCTGTGGAAACAAAGCTGCCCGTGCGAGCTGTCAAGTCCTTGAAAGCTTAGAGAGGTGGAATGTCGTAGTTATTTACCAAGTCGCGTTGTGTTATTTACCAAACCGAGATAATCTTCGCCTCGGACCACAGATGAAACAGGCTTCGATGCCTTTGACTCCCGGGCCACCTGCTTCAGCGGTTTGAACACTGGCGTTCGTTTGCAAGCGTAACTGCTCGCCGTGTTTTATTTAGTAAGAAATGTTAGCATAAAGCTACTCTTAGGTACTCATTTGTATAAACCAAACGGGTCATTGAATTAAAGTTTATTTGAAGAAATCTGTACCTCCGGAAATCGATTGTGTAGTTTATTTCCCCCCAACCCCCAAAAAATGCATACAAATTTTCAAAGGTGCAAAACTTCGATGAATGATCAACACATACAAAAAAGTGCATGTTGCGATGAATGAGTGATGCGGTGATTAAGCGGCGTCGTGTTTTTTTAGTAACAAAAGCTATTTTCTAACTTGCTTTCGTGTTTAAACAATATACGTATAACTGCGCGTATGAATGAAAAAAAAAATAGAACAGAGGAACGTTTTTTGTTTTTTTTGTTTTAGTATAGACCGTTCCATTAGGGTCATAGCAGGGAGGGTAAAAGAGAAAAAAATGCACTCCCCCTCTCACCCCGCGTTCCGTCCGCTCCGCCAAGTGGGCTGTAGCTAGCGTCCGGCTGGCGTGCAAACTCTGTTTAAAATCGCGTCATTTTGGAACTTTCAAGCGCAGATGCGCAGATTTTGGTATGCCAGTTGTCGTGTAATATTATGCTAGATAAAGAGACTCACAGGGTCCGATTTCCCTGTTACCAGCGTGCAAATAAAAGAAAAAATAGGGAAAACTGTGTCAGATTGGCCGATCTCTTTGGCGAAAAGTAAATCCGGTTGCTGTATTTTTTTTACTATACAAAGTTCGTACTGGTGTAGGCCTTTAGCGACCATGAGTGGAAGTCTGAAATAATAAATAAAACGTGCTCTCATGCCGCAATACACGCAATAGTTGAGGGTAGTACTGCCGGCTGACTCAACTGCTATTTAAGTAACGGAAAAAAGATATGCTAGTTGATCATTTCGCAAAATAGAACAACAGAGAGCTATAGGATAATTTTGGAGTAGCTCTAACTATTCTAAGAACGCGAACCACTTCACAACGGCAGCCACGAGCGAGAGTTCGATGTTCGGTAGAGCCCGCCGCTACAGCCCAAAGACGGAGAACGGCAACCTCCCGGTTTGTCGTCTGCTAGCGGAGTCTGGCGCGAGCCCCCTCTCTCGTTTTACCCCGCCGAACCCGCTGAACTTCCCAAATGTGTGGAGAGGGCGCTGCGGGCGAACAAAATGGTGCCGCCCAGAGAGCGCTAAATGGAATGATGCAGTTGTCCTAGCTTGTGGTCATGAGTCATGACACCACCCGTCTCCCAATACGGCGCCTCTGATTGTTTCGCGGCACGTGTCGAGCCGCAAAAATAGAGTTGGGACCCATCCGCGAGGATGGGTCCCAACTCTATTTCATGCCTTAGCATGACATGCTAACTCTATTTCATGCCTTAGCATGACAGTCAGCCTGTCCTTGGCTAAGCCCTCACACTCCCCACCCCTTGCAATAGGTGGCACCGAACTCTCTCGTGTCACTCACACAAAACTGCTCGGAGTCGCGTTCGATGAGCGCCTCGATTTTAGTCGCCACATCCAGGGAACTGCTTCACGTGCGAGGCGGACACTGGGTTTCGTCACCCAAGTTACGCGCGGCATGCCAGCCGCACCACTCAGGCACCTATACACGTCGCTGGTACTCCCGCAGCTGGAATTCTGTTCTGCTATCTGGGACCCCCCCTCAACAACGCATAAGAAATCTCTCGAGTCCATACAGCGGAGGGCAGCCCTTACGCTGTACCGACGAGATTCCCCCTCGTCGCACCACACTGCCGCCAGAGATATTTCCACTACCAGACTCCTGCAGTACGCCCAGTGGCGGACTCTGCAACACCGCAGAGACGTAGCCTCGATCAGGCTCTTCTGCCTAATGATGGGTGCTGGCCACCCTGACGTGCCTTCCCCACCTCGCCTCAACAAGCGAACTGGCCGACTACAACCTCCACTGTCGCGAACTTTGCGCCACAAGACATCGTGCCTAATGCGTGCTGCAGAAATTTGGAGGTCACTCCCACACCACCTCACGGAGTCAATCCCCTGCAACCGAGACGACATCCGCGAGTTGTGTAGAACAGTTACTCGGACAATAGCATAATCACCGGTGTGTGTGTGTGTGTGTGTGTGTGTGTGTGTGTGTGTGTGTGTGTGTGTGTGTGTGTGTGCGTGTGTGTGTGTGTGTGTGCGTGCGTGTGCGTGTGTGTGTGTGTGTGTGTGTGTGTGTGTGTGTGTGTGTGTGTGTGTGTGTGTGTGTGTGTGTGTGTGTGTGTGTGTGTGTGTGTGTGTGTGTGTGTGTGTGTGTGTGTGTGTGTGTGTGTGTGTGTGTGTGCGCGCGCGCGTGTGTGCGCGTGTGTGCGCGTGTGTGCGCGTGTGTGCGCGCGCGTGTGCGTGCGTGCGTGCGTTTGAGCGTGCGTGCGTGAAAAAACGTTTTTGTCTAGATTAGTTTTTATAAGAACTAAAATAGTCTTCATAGCGCCGTCCGGTTGGTGAAAGGGGCACAATATGTGTATGGGCGCACGCCTTTCCCTCCTCACCTGCACACCGAACGGCACCACAAACTTTTAAGTGCAATAAAGTACTATCACTATCACTATCACTATCAAAAATCCTGCTGCGCGGAAGGTTCAAGTGATGTGTTGCAGTCATCTTTATCTTCAAAAATAAATCAGTCTGTAAATGGTGGTTTTTCGATTTCAAGGAGCAGTTATGTCTAGAAGGATACCCCGAAATAATCCCATAGGCATATTCTATAAGTGCGTTTTGAGTGAAGCAAAACTAAACTTCGATATGCTGTGCGTTCAAATTTATGTGCAGTGTAAGAAATGAGTGCTCCGTCCGCCGTTGAACCCCGCTCGCTACTTTGAGGTCGCCCACCAAGAGTTAGGAGAATGGGATGGCATGAGGAAAAAAAAAAAAAAAACACAGAAACCTGGTCGTTGCTGTTCTCGTAGTTTTCGCGAGCAATATGGCATGATAGGATGCAGAACAAATGGCCTCAAACGAAATGGCCCTGGACGAAACGGCCCCGGACAAAATGGTCCCAAGTGCAATCCCGGAGAGAATGGTCCCAAGTGATTTTTAGACACTCATCTTTTAATAAGGTGCTACTCTGAAGTTCTGTTAAGTACATTCAATGCTCTTATAATGCAACTTTTGTAGAGACTATAAAAAAACAAAAAGAAGCTCAATATACACGCGACAATGTTGGAGAAACACACACACAGGGCAGGCACCTGTCTCGTGTGTGTTTTTCTTCGACTTTGTACCGCTTATTTTGCATTCTTTTTCATTATGCCGATCAACCAACTAGCCCAACAATCTATTTTACTGCTTGATACAACTCTTTCCGATCTCCCGCTCGAAGCTTTAAATTGATGCCGTACAGTTACATTTTGTGAACTTGATGTCTTACTTTAAAGGAGTTCCCTCTTCTAGCTCTGTTGAAAAGAGCTACAAGAAGACGTTTTGAGTGAAGCCAAACGTAGCACACATTTACGACTGGTTTCTTTGTGTAATGAAATGTTTATTTCACAAAAAAAATGTATTGCATTATACGAATATTTATCTTTTTATATGTTGGGATTGTACCAATTAAAGCTAATAAAAATAAGGAGCAAGAAAAAATACGAAAAAAATTTATTTGAACCATTTTGTCCGAGTTTTCTATTCGAACAATTTTGTCCGGGGCCATTTTTCCGGTTTTTGGGCTGGTTCTATGTTTTCGATTCCCATTTCTAGTGTAAAAGAGATAAGCGCCGCCTGCACGCCCAGCATTTGTGTGACGTGGCGCTTAACTGAGCTAATATTTGTTCAGAAATGGCAATCGACGGTTCGGAGGTGGCTCCGATTGGAAGAAAAATTCTTTGTCAGCGACATCAATTCGCTCTCTCTGATTTATTATCACTTCTCCTTCGAGTTCCAAAATAGGCTCGATTATCATTCAATCTTGTTTCCAGGCCCTCTATTTTGATAAATTCCTATAAAAAACACGTCACTGACCGGACACTGAATCATCGAATTTAGGTGCGTTGTCGTACTGCCGGCACAAAAGTCGCTCAGCCACCAAATAGGCCAACACGCGTTGCTCAACACAGTGTGTTGATTGTTTCCGTTGCCGGAAGGTGTCACGCCGAATCGAGAATTACGCTCTTGTTTATTTTGTGTTTATTTTTGGCAAGAGAGTGAACTGCCAACAATTTCACCGGCGCCTGACGGACATGCTTGGTGACGTGATCGCCGTGTTTCCTGGCAGACAAGGACGGAAAAGCGATGACATCTGCATATTATCTTCGCCAGCGAACCATGGTTCAGGCAGCTCAACGGCACCCCGGAAGATAAGCCGTAATGTGTTCAAAAGCGACGTTTCGGGGGCTAATCTGCTCACCACTAGGCTGACAGTTCGTTGGGAACGTCATGCTCGTTTGACCAGTGAACCTTCTGCCTTGCACCATGTGATCACAACCGCAGAGAAAGGTGTCAGGTGATAAAAACCAGGCGACTAATTGGTCCGGCAAGCACGTAGCTTCCACCGCGCTGTCAGCTTAGCGGTGAACAGGAATGGGTCGCTGAAGGTCACTAGAGCCAACAGGATCTAGTTTCGTTGCTCGAGGGAGTGCCACACTCGCTCGTACAAGTGGCGGATCGGAACAATGTTTGACCTCCTCTCCCTTTGGGTTTGAAGCTCTAGAAGGAAGTAGCTTCCTTCTTTTCCTTTTAGTCATCACTTGCAACATGTCAGCGGACGTGAGCACATGGACGATTGGAGACGTCTGCTGGTGGCTTTTTGAAAACGAACTGCAATCGGCCTGTTCATCATTTCAAGGTAAAACTTCTTCTAATCAGGCAATATTTATAATTTATCTTGAAAATTGCTATAAGTGCAGTAGTGCTCAAAATGGCCGGAAATTGTTTGATGCATAGGCAGAATAAGTAGGACAGGGGGCGGCTTCTTATTAATTAAGCTACTTGTCGTTTGAAATTTGTTTTTATGCTATTTTAACTTGGAGTTGTCCAAACAAGCACGTTACAAAAAAAAAAAAAAAAAACATTATTTTACAGTCTTGTATGTTGAACTACACAAGAAAAAAACGTTTTTGAAGCGAACACTGATTTCATTACTACAATACTGACTATATATAATATGACAAAATGCTGAGTTCAAGCTTTCCGCAAGAAAGATCTCAAGAACAGAACTTCGAATTTACAGCGCGAATGAAATGAGCAATGATATCTCTTCGTAAATGTAAAAACGTATGTTACCGGGCTTTAATTAGCTAATGTATCCGTATTTATGGCCCCAATAAACGTGAGCGAATAGGTGCTGTAAACGTTTTTGTTTTTTGACCGGCCAGGGACATGGCACTCTGAGAGCCAATCACTGCAATTTACGGCACCGCTCAACTAATGAGGATGCCGAACATTTGGTTAGACCCAAAGATGCTGTCTGCGACATCAGGGAATGCAAAAAGTCCCGCTTGCTTTGCTTAATGTAACAGCGCAGATTGCATTTCTTGGTCTAAACGTATGTTCCGCGTCGTCATTCGCTGAGAGGACTTCGCAGGTTGCAACGATTGGCTCTCGGAGTGTTGTGCGGAAATCGACAGGCGCGAACTTTTTGTGCATTTTGTGTTTGCACAAATGTGGATGTATGTTTGATAAAAATAACTGTTATACTTGGTCCTATATTCAGTGCTGCAACTATTATGTAAATAGCTTACATGCGTAAACGGCGCATCAACGTAACAAATTGTTTTTGTTTTAGGGATTCGTTGATACTCACAAATGTGAAGACGCCGTGAGTGCTCGCCGTCATGCTTTGCTCATGAACGAAGAGATAACTAAAGCGCCCTTGAACGTCGACTTGATACAAGACCGCATGATGCGGACGTTTCAGTCTTGCCAAGAATGGATCCTCAGCGATGCTGGAGCCCTCACAGTCCTTGAGGAATTTCCGGCAATGACGATTCCCTCAATGGTAACTCAATATTATCTTCTTTATATTTAGTCTTAAAGTTTCGAGATTTTTACAGGTCATCAGGACTTCAAAAGTTTCTTACTACTCGTTTTATCACCTGTGAATGAGATAAGGGCTTTTGATACGTGCTAAATTAAATAATTTTACCTCGTAATAAGGCTAGGCAATCAATGAGTTAACATTCCGATTAATTAACTATTGTTTTACTCTGAATCAAGTGAGTTTAACAGGCATATTGGTTGGATTTAGAGTTACGAAAAGTCTTATAAACAAAAAAGTAAAAAGAATATTCATTTAATTCTTTTTTTGTGTTTATAACACAATTGTCTCTCATGGCTACTTAAGTGTTTTATATGATTATTATCTAGAGTGGTTTTGAAGTTTAAATAATAACGTACAAATATTTTATTTTAAATGTTTTCCATGCTTTTCTTGTGTATGAGCACAACGGCAAGTTGATATTCGAACTTGTTATTGTACAAATATGTACATATATTTTATTTTACATGTTAGCCATGCCTTACTTCTGTATGAGGCACAATGACAAGTTGTTATGTACTAAGCCTTATAAGACGTAGTAAAAACTTGTCAAAGAAAAAATCGGTTGTTCTAGGCCTTTTCTGGACAAAATAACTTTCCTCGAGATCAGCGCGACCTATAAATTGATTAACTAGTCAATATAAAAGAAAACGTAAATCAAAATTATTTTAATTGACGCCAAGCCTTACTCCACTATAGTGACAGTAAGTGGTCATTTAGTTAATATATATATATATATATATATATATATATATATATATATATATATATATATATATGTGTGTGTGTGTGTGTGTGTGTGTAAACAATCCGTGTGTACAAATTCATAGCGCATAAATGTATTTTTGTAAACCAGCAACACTGTCCATTCGTTGTTTATTTTTCAGTTACTACAAGACGTGAAACTGCCGTTCGGCAAAGACATCCGGAGGACATGGGAGCCAAGATTGAGGCATTTACAGCTTCTACACAGGTGCTCCTCAAAGGAAAAGAACGTCACTCTGAACCTCGAAGAGCTGCTTGAAGGTATACTTTAGTTGGTGTTTTTGTAATCTATCACAAGTTTCAGACTGCGACGACGCAGA